CTTTAAGTTGCCAAGGTTGAGGAACCCTGATCTAGAAGACACAGGCATGCAGGAATACTGGCAGCCTCATAAGCATGCCAGTGCTAGAGTTCCACCTCCCCAGTGCTTTTTTAGCTTGTTTTCTTTTGAATATTGCCATGTCTGATGTCCATCTTATACTGATACCTTCTTGCATGGGGACTGACATATACAGTACTGTACTTCATAAGACATGACTGGTAGATGAGTAGCATAGATCAAGCTAAAAGAGCCTTGACGTTGCAGATGTCCTTGTGTTATGGCCTGTAATAACATTCCTGGGGGAGTGTTGACATTCAGCTTTGTTGCACAGTGTAACACCAGGAGTGTGGGTGATAGAGCTTTCCTTCTGATGCAGCAAGGTGTGCAAAGAAGGACAATGGCAAATGACCTTAGAAGTGGAGGCAATTGGATGTGGGAAGAGGATGAGTTAGAGTAGGGCAGGGTGGGGTAAGGTAGAGTAGGGTAGCAGTTGGATTGCACCTGTAAAAAGTAACTTAAAATTAAATTTAGCAACTTAGATTAATTGAATTGTGATTAGAAATTGACCCATAACTTCATCTTCATTCACGTTACTACAGTTAGAATTAATTTAAGAGCTGGTTTGGTGTAACGATTAATGTACCAGGCTGGAAACCAGGAGACCTGGATTTCTAGTCCCCCTTAGGCACGAAGCCAGGTGGCTAAGTTTGGGCCAGTCACACCCTCTCAGCCCTAGGAAGGAGGCAAGGGCAAACCACTTCCGAAATCTTGCAAAAAAAACCCTGCAGGGACTTGTCCAGGCAGTCGTCAGGAGTCAACACTGACTCGAAGGCACCAAAAAAACCAAACCAAAACACCTTATGTCTGAGGTTACACATTTCCTCAAAGACATTAATTGTATGGGAAGAACTATGATAAGTGGATTCATACCTTTGAAAAACAGATTGTATTAACTCTTTTGTTTCTTGCAAAACTTAAAATCATATCTAGTTGAGTGTGATTGTTCTGCTGGAGGTCTGAGAATCTAGGGGATTCAGATCAGGGCAGGCCTTAATTGCCAAAGTTAAAAAACAACTCTGACATGAGTACAAACCTGGGAGAATGCCAGTAATGTGTGCTCACCCCTATCCTCCCTAGTCATCTTTTTTCTTGATTAGAGCTGCTGAACCAAAAATAGTTCAACCTCAAGCTTCAAGGTATGCCAAGAATGGCTCCCCGCAGAGAGAAGCCGTGCAATGGGCCACTGCTGGAGCTGTTGCAATGCATTCCATCCATAAGAAGTTTCCATTCATTCTAGAGACTCCTGTCAGTATACCCTGATGAACCAGGTGGGAGGGACAGGGAAGACGCTCCTCCTCTTGCTGCTTAGGAGATCCCACATTCCTTTTGATGCTGAGATCCCAGAACTGCATATTGATGGTAGTGGGAGACACCCTCAATATAGATTTGCAGAACTAGAACTACAGTTAGGCAGAATGTAGCAGTGGCTTTAATCTGTAGAAACTACGGTGTTCCTAAACTGCCTTACTAATTTTTCTCTCCAGAAGCATATAGCTGTTTTCTGCTTTCTCCACTAACCTCCTACAATACATGCAGGACATTTGACCCATCAGCAGTACAGAAGTTCCAGTTCTTCTGAATATGGAAATGGAACAGGATAGGAATCATCTTGTTCTTAGTTGGTCATACCTGCTGATCTGTGGAAACATCTCCTGCTGCACTCTAGAATGTAAGAATCATCCCTCCCATTAGAAATCTTCTGTATAATATCCCCAAGACACTACTGTAATAAAATATTGATGCAATTCAGAAGAAGAAATTGGCTGTATTGATGTGTAGTTGCACAAGCAAGTTAAAGTCCTTACTTGGAACTTCAGAGAAGAGCAACCCTGAGCAAGTCATTATCCTTAATCCAAATTCTGTTCAGTGAATTGATTCCCAAAGAAGTGAGTAGTCTTGCAGGCTGAATCTTGGTTCCCACTTCACAATGTTTTTGGATGAACATTGAAAAGTTCTGTGTTATGGGGAAAACTATAGAAAAAAATCATATATATCCAAATTGGGTGGTCATGGTAGTGCAAAACCTGGCTGTGTCAGCATTGAATTAATGAGTGGCAAATGGAATCAAGTAAAGATCTGGGAAGGCATGTCTGCACTTGATTTCTTAATAAGATGCCTGGTGTTTGGATTGTTAACAAACTCCCTGGTAACAAGTGCACTGAAGTAAAAAATAGTGTCTCGAAGATTTGGATATTTTGCTAAATTTCCTGGTCTTCTAGTTCCCCATCAGGTCTGAATAGAGATGTGGTTATTTCCTTTAGACAAGGAGATAAGCAATCTGTAGCCATATCTGTATTGATAAACTTCAGATCCTTTTAGATCTAGCCCACATGGCCAGTGGTGAGACATCACGGGAATTGCAGTATAACTGGATGGGTTACAGGTTTGCCAATCTCTACTATAGACTAAAGCAGAATTCTTGAGTCCTCCAGATGTGTTGGCTTACTATTTTTTAATTTCCTAGCTGGCATGATGAAACATTTAGTTTTTGAAACTTCAGTTCATGTCTTGGCAGCTCATCTGAGAAACATAGTTGCTAATGAAAACTAGGTAACCTTCTGTGCAATCCCATTGTTTTGGCCAGCATACTCTCTCTGTGCCATTGTACTGTGTGATGTTCTGGTTGTCACCAACTTTTCCTCAAATCATCTTGCTTTTCCAGTGGTGTAGGAACACTATTTAGGGAGGGAAAGGGGTGATATTTCTCTCTCTGTTCTCCTACTACATTTTTCAAATTTTATGCAATTACTCTTTGAAGCATTTACTGTATCTGTAACTAGCTCACTGAATGGCTCTCTGGTTGTAAACAAGTAAATAGACCTATGTATGAAGTAGGGATACCAACAGAGTAAATCCCTTTGCTTTCCAAAGTAACATGTTCTTAGTAGCACTTCTGCATCTATTATGGGAGGTAAAAAAACTAATCCATAGAAAATACTCTTGAAATACATACAGTAGTTTTTTGAAATAATTAAAGTTGAGTATATCAAAAGGCAATGTGGCTTCTAAATCTTGCAAAAAATCTTGCATCTTTAGTATTTAATTAAAAAACAAAACAGAAGTCCACCTTTGAAAAAGCAGCAATTTATAGTCAATATCTATGGTTCTTGACATTCCAAAAATACTTCTAACAATGTGATTATAACCCCAGAATTGTCCATTGCTGGTACTGGATCCTTCTCCTAGTTGCACTAAGATGTCTGTTCTTCCGCCTGCATCCTGAGTCCTAAGAGTTATTATTTCTGCTGGGATGGGTAAATCTGTTATTTTTTTTCCTCCAGTGGGGTTAGTAGCTATTTGCAGAACTGCAATAGTCCTAGTTCCAAGAGACCACACTCTTCCTCACCACAGTTGCTGCTGCCCAATCTCTCTCTGAGATAACAAGGGCAAGGCATTTTCCCCCCTTACTCCTCTCATTGGTTGGATGGGTAGAAACAGCAACAACCAAAACACTCCAAGAAACAGCTGCTGGGACCCTGATGAGATGTGGATCATGGCAAGTGCTGGTAGTAAAGTGCCCTTTAGCCAAAGAAGAGAGCGAAGGAGGAGCTGGGTTCACACATCCCATTAAACTATCCTGTGCATAAGGTGTATGGTATGAACCCAGCCTTGGTGGTTTTTAAAGCATGGTTTACGGCTGTGCAAATTAGCCAGTGGTGGGATCTTTAATTAACCAAGGTTAAAACAAGCCCTGGAATAACACAGTGTGTGAATGCAACCACTAAGCTTAGTGAGGCTTAGTGAGTTTCTGAGAGCTTCTTGCTAGCATTGTGAGCATTAAATCTTCTTTCAGAAGCAGTTGTGTCTTTCTGTACCTAAATTTCTTCCACTGCAGGTAAAAAATATAGTTGCCTTTGAAGAACAGCTAATAAAGGTAGACTGCTATGGGCATCTCAGCATGGGTTAGATTTTTTTAAACAGATTTTTTGCATCAAATTTGTAATCTTGTTATGATAAGGGAAAGACAGAGCCAGGCATTGACGGCCATCAGGGAGATGACATGTGAGTTTGGGAGGCAGTAATGCTAGCAGTGAGGGCGACTCATGATTCAGTTGCCGGTCTAGCATGAGCTGATTGTGGTGCTTTGATACAATGAAATATATGAAAATGGAATAGGAATATTATTTTAAACAAACCTTCTGTGGTGTCTTTGATTTTTATTTTAACTACATTGATTTCTCAAAGCATTTTTTTTCTCACAAATTCCTTCATTTTTAAGAAAGAATGTGTTGTGCTGCTATTTGAAGATTACACTGAAGATGTATTTGAAGATTACATTGGACGGATGTGTTCTTCTCCAGTGAATTTTGCTGGTTCTCAACTGTCAGTGGCTTTTTTGTGCTCCCCCCATGGCCTGTTCCAGCAATTGGACATCCCATGCCCCTCTCCCCGAAGATCCAATGCTATTGGTCGTTATTCCCGTTTGACTGACAGGGGAGAAGAAACTCTGGAAACTTAATTTGAATATGTTGCTGCTGTGAATATTCTCTCTGCTTATTTGGTTACGGGTTATTTTGATTCTGGAGGGGGAGCTTGGACCTCTCCTTCAAAACCAACTTTTGGTGGAATACTTTCTGATCCCTTCTGTAACCCCACAATAATTTCCAAAGAATTATCCATACAGAGACCTAGATTCCTCTTGAGGATGGCACTCTTTTTTTCTGAGGAAAAAACCCTGCATTTTCCTTTCCTTCTTTTGCTGCAATTTAGCTCAGGGAAAAAAAAACATTCTTTCAGAACAGCCCCCGGCCAACTGCTTTGAAATAAAGTTAGTCTGTGAGATCTAGTCTGTGGATTTCCCATGGCATGTTTGTTTGGTTCCAGACCTCAGAAACATGACAAAGACCAGGGCTAAACTGGTGATCACCCTTAATTACTGCTTAGAGGATAAGCGCATAAATTCCCGCTTTCACTTTCTCACTTTCTCCCTGTTGTAGGCCATGTCCCTCTTACAAGATTTAGTGGATGAGACGAGTAACATGAAATCAGCCACGAGCAACTTGGAGGATGAAGTACAAAAAATCAAGGATCACTTAGCTCTGGTAAGCGGTTTTCATTCCGCTCTGTTGGGCCCACAATCCTGAGGGAGTTGGCTGCATGTGTTCAAGACCTGGTTGTTTTTTTCTTTCTTAAAACCTCAGGGGCCTAGGTGTTACCAGTCTGGCAGTCTGACTAGGTACTGTCTGTGCTCACTTCCACATGGAGACACACGTACTTGCCTGCATACACCCATATGAGGAACAGCTGTGGAATGTTTGGAGGGTTAATTCCTCCATCAAGGATAGGTTGAATTGCCATTTACTTTTCAACCAAAGGTAGAGGTTTACAAATCCTGGCAGAGAAGCAGTTCAAATGCTTTCCCAATGTATTGTTTTGTTTTGCGGGCCTGGAATCAGAGGAACAAATCTCTACAAAGAATACACAAGTGAGTTCACGATTTCTCCAGAAATGACCAGGGTGTACATGCTGTTGATTGAGATTTTGGCAAAAGCAGTGTGGATATAAACTGTTTGTCTCCTGCAACAGTCCTGAGTTGATTAGGTTCCTAAACAGTACATTGAGGGGGTGAAAGTGCCCACTAGAGTTAATCAGAGCTCCCTCGTCCCAGCTGAACATTGGAAAGAGGTTGTTGGATCAGTACTGCAGCGGTAGGACTACTGTAGGTTGGGGGTCCCCAAACCCTTCAGCTCATCAACCCCTTCATGAAGTTTCAGATTGTTCATCAACCCCCAAACATGTATTTTATGACAATAATTTAATAAATAGGACTTTAATAGTACTGTGAATAATAAGAATAAGAATAAAAGAAGACAAGCACCTGCCACACAACACTTCAGATGATAAGAAAGACAAAAAAAGTCTGGATAGTGGATATTGCAATACTTGAAACAGCTGAAGAGAAGAGAAAGAACGGGAGAAAATCACAAAATACAAAGACCTGCAAACAGAAGTAGAACGACTATGACAAAAGAAAGCAAAGATAGTACCAATAGTTAGAGGCGCCTTAGGTACAGTCCCAAAACATCTGGAGCACTACTTGAACACCATCAACATTGACAAAATCATCATCAGTCAATTGCATAAGGCAGCTTTACTTGGAACAGCTTACATCCTGCAACAATACCATCAAACACCAACATCTACCTATCCCAGGTCCTTGGGAAGGACTTGATAGGTACATAAAAATGCCAGATCCAGTCTAAACATCTGACTGACTGTGCAACCAACATGATGATGATGATGATGATGATGATGATGATGATGATGATATTGGCCCCTTAGATAGGCCCATTGACCCCTGGGGGTCAATATTGACCACTTTGGAGAACCCTGGACTAGGTAAAGCACTCACCCCCATTACCAGGGTCCCAGTCCAGACTGAGATTCTCCTGTTGGCTGTTTCTGGATGAAAAATTGCACACTGCATAGAAAACTTCATGAAAAAAGTTATATGGCTCTAGTAGATGGGAAAGATAGCAGGAAGATCATGACCTGAAAGGTAAGGCTTAGCATCCCACTCACCCACATATCCCTTTTATTATTTTTGTTGAGTTTATATTTGTTTGGGGCAATGACTCATTTGAAGAAAACCATCTTTGCATCTAATATGTTTTTCAGGTTTTTTTTGTAGGACATGCATTTCTGCTTATAGCCTTAAGTATAAACCCCTCAGTATGGAAATAAGTTATCTTGATGATCCAAGATGCAACCCCAATATATTCATATTAGTAATTCTTAATATTTTTGAGTAATATTAAATGTACTGTACTCAAGAGCTGTTTCTTGAGACCAGTTGATCTCCCTGGTGCTTGCTTTTGTTTCTTTGCACTCCAGGATACGAAATGTTTACTCTTTTCCCCCCAGACTTACAGGAGGAAAAATGGCCCCTAGAGCAATACACTTACCTTGAACTGGGCATTCACTTTTTTTTTTTTTTTTGGCTTGATTTTCCCCAGGTATGGGCAAACAGGCTCATCTTTAGCATACCTTTATGATGTGTTTAGAACTTACTCATATTCACATCCTATATCTGAATAAAGAGGAATAACCTAAATGTTTCTTTCATTTTGCAGCTAGATCCCAGTGGGTTCGATGATCGTTTAAAGACTTGCTTGAGCGATCAGATCAGTTTGGATCATGATTTGGTATGTTCTTGCCTTCCGCCTTCAAAGAAAAGTAATTTTTGTGCCAGCTCAAACACCCCTTTCCCTGTCAGTAGCTGCTGAAGGCACTGCCTGGTGGTTGTGTGGAATCAGAAGTGTCTGAAGTAGTTCATCCAGCCACCACAGTTGCTGTATGTTAACTATATCCTTCATTCTGGTCTGAAGCCTGTTTACTGTGCAAGCTTGGCATTGGGCTGACATTCTGGCATTGCCAAGAAATTCTGCTTCTTACTGGCACCAAAATTGGTTTATATGGGCACTCCCAGTTTTCTCTTGCATTATCAGGTTCACTTCATAGGAAGCTGCCATGAAGATTCACTCAGACAGCACCCTCCAATGCTTCAGCCACAAGTTAATGGCATGGAAAAGTCTATCTCATTTGTGAACTCCAGGTTCACTGGGTTACAGCTCTCAGAATTGCTACATAGTCAGGTTTTGGCCAAGTCTCAGCACATTGGTAGGCCCCAATGGGGGAAGGTTGCAATTCATTCATTGATTCAAATAACATTCTCCATGTTTGCCCTTGTTATGAAGTCATTGTACAAATGATACCACTCTGGAATTTGCATCACTTCCATTACTATGATTAATGAAAGTATATAAATTGCATCATTTGAGTCATGACATCATGACATATGTTCTTCTGCGGATGCCTGTGATGATAGCCCTTGCTGACAGCCTTTTAAATAGACCTAACACAAAAGGAATAAGGAATGGAGAAGGAAAGGGACAGTAAGCCTGTCCTTACCTAACTGATGGATGATTTGCCTCCTAATTTGATGCTGTTGTCTGAAGTTACTCCCTGGGCTTCCAAGATTCCTAATGAAGAAGCAATGATGATAGACCCAATGTATGGGACAGAAAGGATGATTTTCATATGTTGTGGTTTTGATTCCTTTCTAGAAAGACTTAGAGAAGAGGTTAAACCAATTCCCATCCCCAGAAGAAATGAACAACATGGTACGGTGGGAAGTTCTTGAAGATGTCCTCGTGAAGGGCAAGAGTCCGTCTCCTGTGAGTATGGTTTGGTTTGAATGCCATGTTTTCATAGTGGCATCATGCTGAAAATGAGCTGTGATAAACATCATCTTATCAAAATGTACCACATTTGGAGAAAAAAAATCCAAACTATGTTTGATGTTTAATCATTTAGTATTGATGCCCATTTTCTTGTACATTACAGATTTAATTGCTGTTTATCCCCTTGACTTTGGCTTCACATGTTTATAGCATATCCCAAAAGCATTTACACTGGACAAATGGTTCATTCTTTCATCATTTGTGGCCAGAAAGTTTTTTTTTCTAGCATTCATTTGGAATCTTGCAAATCTTGAATCCTTTATTTCATGCCCTGAACTCTGAACAAAGGAGAATAGATCTAGACTTTCTTTTGTATCCTCCAAAGAGTAGCAAGTTTAAAGAATTGTTTACTAGAAGCAACTTCCATGTGGCATAGTATAACCATCTGCCCCATTTTTATCTATGTACTCCTTCCTGGGGGCTTACCCTTCCAAATGCTTTAAAGGCACAGGATACAGTTAAAGCCATGCTGTACTACATTTCTTCCCCTTATAACAATTCCCATTACACACCACTTTTACATAATATAATGCTTCATCCAGCCTGGTAAACGTCTTACTTGAATTATCCATATTTTGGCTTCATTACATAAATGGTTTTGTTCATCTTCTGTGAACTCTTTTAAGTTGGCTTGTAGCCCAAGGCCAATCCAGAGGTATCAGTCATGGACTATGCAATCTCTCCCTCCTCCTTAATTATCGAAGCAAAGTAGGAAACTTTCCACACCGCCCTTGCAACTATTTATAAGTATAATGGCCAATAATTTTGTAGGGAGATATAAATGTACTCTTCCCTTGGTTTGTTATACAGTATATAGTATATGAACCACGTTTGAATTTCCATGCCTTAGCCCCACGCTATACAGGTTTATGTATTTTCTACATTCTTTTTCTTTGTTTTCCAATCATCTTCTCATCTCCCCTTCTAGATTAATACCTGGTCTCGATCTTACTTTCCCAGTCACCTTTACTTTAGCATATATCTCTCCTCAGTGCAACCCTTCTGGTGATGCTTTCTGTATCCCTGCATAGCATATAGCAGTATATACCTTCAAAAACTCAGCAACAAACCTTTTCTCTTATAACCTTACCGTCCATAAACTATCTTTCAGGTTCTGAGAACCTCTTTGTCTCCCCATTTGCTTGTGGATAATAACCAAAGAATATTACACTCTGCCAGATAATTTTCAAATTCTGGTGAAGTAAATCAAGCCCATTATTAGAATCTAACTCTTTAGAATGTCCTTTCCTAATAAAAAAAAACAAATAAATGTAATAATTGCAGCCAAAGGAGGTTGTGATATAAAAGGCACTTATGGATGTTTACTATAATAGTCAATCAATGTTATAATGTAATGACAAGTGAACAGAGTCCCATCAAAAGGATTTACAATATCAATAGCTACTTTCTGCTGAGGAGCACCTAGAAGTGGCACAGACTGTAATGGTGTGACACATATTTGGCAAGTAACACTTGATTTTATTGCTGCTTCCCGCTTAGGAAACCATTCCTGGCCACTTTTCTTTCAGTCTTTCTTTTTGTTCTCACCATTCCTCACCATAAAGGTGTGCCATAGTTCTTGTGGCAACTGCAGCCAATATGCTCCCTGTTACACATATTCACCTTGGAATTAAAGTTCCTTGTGAATCCTGTAACAGGGCAGCAACCCACCCTCAACTCTCCTATCTTTATGCCATTTTCCTGTCACGCGCTCCTGCAACTTCTGTTGAACGGGACATGCTGAACATGCAGTCTGGTATCGCTCTTAATCACTGCAGTAAGAGTACTAGAAAGGAAGTTCCCTTGCTTCCCATCACCCTAATCCACTGTCACTTTCAAAAGCTGGCATTGGCAATCAGGATAAACAGCAGATACACTTTGTATTCTTGGTCCAGACTCCATCTGGTACATAAAGGAATGCAATTTTCTGACCGCTATTTGTAGTTGATCGTGCTGTCAAAGATTTATGATCCATACATAACTAAAACGTATGACCCCAGAAATCACTCCTTCATTTTTCAACAGCCTAAATACAAGTGTGTGCTTCTTTTTCTGTAACTGGATATTTCTTTTCAGCATCAGTAAGTGTCCTTGATGTGAATGCAAACGTTTTCTCTCTGTACCTCTCAGGTAATTGTGTTAGTACAGCTCCCAACTCATAATGGGAAGCAATTATGAATGGGAAGCAATGGGAAGCATGTTAGCCAATCCATTATGGGTAACAAACAGGGTCAACACAGGGCTATCACAATCAACCTCTTCATATTCCCAAACTTTGTGCACTCACTGTCTAGTTCTGCCTTGTCGTTCCTCTTAATAACTCAAAAAAAAAAATTTTTTTTAATCACAAGTGGTACAACCCAAAAAGGAATTTAGGAGCTGTATGTTCCTTGGAGGAGATACCTGTAAAATAGCTACTACATGATCAGGGCCAGGCGTCTGTCTGTCTGTCTATCATCAATCATCTATCATTTGCCACATGTTTATGCTACCTACTTGTGTGACTCTTGACAATTTGCAAAATAAAAACTAAAAACATCCATGAAACCAGTCCAAACTTAACTAAAAACAATTGCTGTCCTAACAAAGATCTTTCTAACTGAATGCCCTCCAGAAGGGGATTCAGCAGTTTCCTGAAGGACAAAAGGCTGGGGTCAACCTGATGCCAGAGGGCATGTTGTGCTACTGAAAATGCTGTGTCTTGGATCTGGCCCCAATCTCTCAGCTTTAGACCATTGTCTGGTCTTGTACCATTTAGCTAAAAAATACACCTCACTGCCCAAAGGCACCCTTTTCTGTGTATTGTCGAAGGCTTTCATGGCCGGAATAGGATGGCTGGTGTGGGTCTTCCGGCCTGTGTGGCCGTGTTCTGGAAGTTTTGTTTCGTAACGTTTCGCCAGCATCTGTGCCCCAGAGGGCAGGAGCACAGACAGGAGCAGTTCTCTCTGTGCCCAGGATGATGTGAC